CCTCCTCCTTCCCTGCCCCACTCCCAGTCACTCCCCACCCAGCAAATGCTCCTTCTTATCAGCAGCAGCAGTAGCGGCAGAATTGGCATTTATATAAGGTTTACTAAGCACTTTCCTCACAACAAACTTGGCAGGTGGGCAATGCAAATATTATTCTTTCCATTATACAAATGGGATAACTGAGGCTCAGAGAAAGTAAGTTATTTGTCCATGGTCATCTAGTTAGTAACTGATTAAACCATTTATTTAGTCCTCTCCTGAATCCTAGACCAGTGTTCTTTCCACTACATCAAGTCCCTTGTTGTTGGGGGGACTGGCCTGAGTCCATATAAAGTTCACAGAAATTAAAACTGGCTTTCCCCCCAGGTTTACTGTCAATGAGCTAGAGAAAGATATTAGCAGAACCCTTTCTTAAAGCTGAAAGATGGTAGCTCTCAGAGAAAAAAAATCTGAATGTTTTCATTTTTAGAAGATAGTTACTCTAATCAACATAATTTTCTCTAAGCAGTTTTTTAAAGTATTCCCCAAATCATCCATCCATCCATTTACCCATCCATCTTTCTACTTGACAAACATTTGTTGATCACCTACTATTTTTAAGGTACCATGAAAAGTATAACTGAGAATAATGCCACTAGCTAAAGAATTCTATTCACTCTGGCTAATTTTATCGGATGCCTTCCTTGGAGATTTGAATAACATGGTTTAAAATAATTTTGCCAAGGGTTTAGTACCAACATCCAGCCACTTCAGTTGTTTTCTAAGGATCAGTCCTTTGCTTTGTTCTGTGACTGAGAATATAATTGATTGCTTTGCCCCACGGTTTTTTTTTTTTTGATGTGTGGTTCAAAGTCCTACAATGCTCTTATTTAAAATAGCTTCAGTTGAGTCCATTCTTCATAAATCTCCTGGGTTCTCTTTTATTGTGGCTTATTGTAACAATTTTTATTCCTCCAGTCTCCCAGCACTCACTATTGGGACTAGGAGCTAGGAGTCTACAAGTGGTTTTCCACTAGTATTGTGTACCTGTAGGTTTCAAAGTGGGACCCTAATTGCCAGGTCTCTCTACCTCCTAAAAGCAGCTCAGAAAGAGGATTGGGGGGGGGGGAGAGAAAACCTAGGTTCGAATCCTAATTCTGCTGCTTACTCCTTGCTTGATCTTTAGCAATTAATTTACCCTCTTTGGGCTTCAGTTGCTTATCTATAAATTTAAAGGATTAGACTACATAGTCTTTAAAGTAATATCCAGGGGCAGCTAGGTGGCACAGTGGATAGAGCACCAGCCCTGAAGCCAGGAGTTCCTGAGTTCAAATCTGGACTCAGACCAAACACTTGACACTTACTAGCTGTGTGACCCTGGGCAAGTCACTTAACCCCAGTTGCCTAAAAAAACCCCAAAAAGTAATATCCAGTTCTAAATCTATGAACTGGTGACCCTGTGGAATAAATTGATTGACTCTTATGCTTCTCATGATGACTAAAAAGGAAATCGTGTTTTCTAAGGAACATAGATTTAGAGTTGGAGGAAACATTAGAAGCAATTTAGTTTGATGTCCCCATTTTACCAGTGAAGAAACTGAGCCCCAGAGAAGGGACTTTCATTGCAGATGTTAGATGAATTAATTAATGATTGTATTATGCAGAAATGTAAATAACAATAACATGGGGTCATACTTTCTGTAAGTTAACTTATTTGATCTTAACAACATCCTTGTGGGGTCAGTATTATTATTAACCCCTACTTTACAGGTGAGGAAACTGAGGCATAGAGAATCAAAACAATTTTTCCAGAGTCACCCACTCAATTTCTGAGGCAGGATTGAACTCAGGTCTTCCTGACTCCAAGTCCAGCCCTTTATCCACTATACTACCCATGCCATAGAGTGGTCTCTTATTACTCATATTGTGTGAATTAGTTAATAAGTCTACCATGTTCAAATATAATTGACAATAATACATATGTGGAGGTAGCTTAAATGGCTCAGTGGATAGAGTCAGGAAGACCTGCCTAAGTTGAAACCTGGTCTCAGACACTTACTAGCTGCATGACTCTGGGCAAGACACTTAACCTCTGCCCAAATACACTGGAGAAGTAAATGGCAAATCACTCCAGTGTCATTGCCAAGAAAATCCCATGGACACTATTGGCATACTGTGGTAATGGGGTCACAAAGAATTGGAAACAACTGAACAACAGTTTAAGTTTGCAGAACACTTTTATATATACAAGTTCATCTATTAGTCAGCTAATATCTATCAGCAAATTATTACTTTATACCTGCTAGGTGGCACAGTGGATAGAGTACTAGGCCTGGAGTCAGGAAGACCTGATTTCAAATCCATCCTCAGACACTTACTAGCTTTGTGACCCTGGACAAGTCACTTAAGACTGTTTGTCTCAGTTTCCTCACCTGTAAAATCAGTTGGAGAAGGAAAGGCAAACCACTCCAGTATCTCTGCCAAGTAAACCCCAAATGGGGTCACAGTGTAAGTGAATGTTTATAAGAGCAAGCAGTTTGAATACTCTGAGAGCAACTTAATTCAACTCAGTTCAACACTTAGTGAGCAGATGGGAATAGAAAAGTGAAAAATAACATAACATATAGTTTGGGGGTGGAAACCTATGGCCATGAGACCCTTAATAAATCTTTGTTCTGTGAAGTTTGGATTCAGTCAAAGGACCAAACTTGAGGACCTAGAAGGTCACATGTGGCCTCGAGGCCACAGGGTCCCCACCCCTGATATAATTCCTATCATTAAAAAGTTTACAACAAAGGGGTTGAGGGGAGAGGAAGACATTTAATATGCACACAAATAGGCAATTACATAAGAAAACTTGAGGAAGAGATAACTTGATTAGAATAGAATATATAATAAACTTGGAAGATTAAATACGGATAGGGTTAGGGACTGGACCTTTGATCTTGTTGGTATAGGAATACTACCTAGTATTTCTTCTTGGTGGCTATTTTCACATTTTATTAAAAATGCCAAAGCAGTCCACGTTTGGAGAATAATCAGTCATTTGCTTTACACCTTTGTATTCCCATCCTCTCACTCAGTGTTGAACTGAGTTGAATTAAATTGCAGAGTACCCAAACTGCTTGCTCCTGCAGAACACTGTATGTAGTGCTCTGGAGAATTACGAAACAAGTAGAAGATATTGTTCCTGCCCGTGGGGCTTTTATGAAATAGATCTTAAGTGAATAGCCCCCAATGCAAATAATGTATATACAAATTCCATTCATTCATTTAGCAAATATTTATAGGGAGAGACTTTTAAAGTCAATGGCACTGGACTAGACAATGTAAATGAAGGTATTTGGGATTGATGCAGGAGCCAGGTGAGTTTGTCAGAAAAGATTTCCAAATGGACTTCAGAGGGTTCGACAGTGAGTTTTTCAGACCTTCCAATTGAGCTTAAAAATGACAGATCTATGGCTTCAGGAAGGGGGAGGAAAAAAAAACAGGCTCCTGCTGCCTACACCTTTACCTCCACAGGTTGGGACCTGTGACATAGGCTCATGTGCTTACTAGAGGAGCTGAGGTACTAACTTGTGGTGGATATATTTAGTTAAGACATGCACGGCTCCTGCTAGAAAGCCTCAGAGTTCCAGCAATCACCCTCCTGAGTTCTCTCTGTCTCTGTCTCTGTCTGTCTGTCTGTCTCTCTCTCTGTCACACACACACACACACACACACACACACACACACACACACACACATACACACCCCTTTTAATAAAACCTCCGTCAGATCAGATTTATGATTTTCAGCTTTGTTAAGTCAAAGTGGGACTAGCCTGGACCACCTTTCTCCCAGGAAGAACTCAAAGCAGGATCCTGCCACTGCTGATCAGGATGGAATGCAAAGACAACCTATAACTTCGGTCGCTTACAGAGTCCCAAAGCGTAGGGGAGATGGGAGGAGGAGGGATTAATAGAATTTAGAGCTGGAAGGGAGGACAAACTTTGCTTCCTAGAGCAGCGGGGCTGGGAGTGCCCACCAACTTCCAGCAACTCCGGGGGACTGGGACGGGGGCGGGGCAGGCAGCCCTTAGAAGCTCTGCGGGAGGCTGGGCAACCCGGAGACAGGAGAGGGGAGAGGGGAGAAGTGGGAGGGGCTGCCCAACCCGCCCTTTCAAGTCTCTCTCCCTCCCTCCCTCTCCCTGGCGGCAGCTGGGGGAGATGAGTGGCGCTGAGTCGCCTCTTCCCTGACCCCCCTCCTCTCCCCCCCTGCCCCTCCTCCCTCCCCTTGCCGCTGCCGCCGCCGCTGCTGCACGGGAAATATGAAGAGTAGGTGCAGCTGCAGCAGCGGTGGTGGCTGCAGAGACCGGGCTCAGAGCGCAGAGCTGAGTACAGGCGGAGTGCGCGGCCGCGGACGCCACCCGAGGCACCGAGAGGCAGAGGCGGCTGCTGGGGTTCAGCGGGCAGCGGCACCGGCGGCGGCAGCAGACTCAGAGAAGTGATTGCAGCCGCCTCTGAATCAGCGCCTGAGTGCGCGGTCCCTTCGCAGCGCAGCCGGCCAGTGAGCGGACCCGGTGACAAGCCGAGCTCCTGGGTCCAGTCCGACGCTCCGCTGCCTCCCCCAGCCCCAACTGCGGGAACTCCACCGCGGCATCCCCCAGTCATCCCGCTGCCGCCGCCTTCTTCTTCCCGAAAGGCAGAGATGGAGTGAGCGGTCCCCGCGCGTGATCAGGCGGAGCTTTTTTGGAAGCCCAAGGCGAGAGCTGGAAAGCTAAGTCTCTGGGAAAGGAAAAGAAAGAGGAAGAGAAGAAGGGACACTGCGCGGAAGGGAAAGCCACCGAGGACCTCGACTCCGCTTCTCGCCACTTTCTCTTGGGGCCCAGCGCACCTCCTTTGTCCAGCGCACTGCAGCCTTGAACGCAGTCCCCCCAAAGCCTGTGCTGCTCACGGACCCAGGGATCCCAAGGGGGCCGCGGCTGCTGGTAGCAGCTTTTCAGCTCACTTTCGTCTGGCTTGTCAAGTTCATCCAGAAGGGAGTAGTGGACTGTTCTTCCGGCGTGGGGGTGGAGGGAGGGAAGAGAAAGAAAGAACTTTAGCATCACTTTGATTCGAAGGAAGCTCAAAAATTGCGCTGGAAGAGAATAATTTACTGACCAACAGAAAGAGACGAAGACAGTCTCTTAGGCGCCCAGAGGAGGAAGAACAGGGGAGGAGGAAAAGGAAGACGTAGTAGTGGTGGTGGTGGTATAGAAGAAAAACTGGAAATGTCCCATCTCTACCGCAGTTTGGTCAGATACCTGTTTCTAGCCCTCCTTTTACATGGTGAGTGAGTGCTACTGTCTCCCCCCCACCACCAGCAGAAGTGCTGGTAAATATAATGCTCATTTATAATAATTATCCATGATAATAGCTATAGACAACTTAGGACATAGAAATACTTGGGAATGGATCACAAAAGCCTGGATTATTCAAATCACTTAACCTTCCTAGACCTCATTTTCCTCATCTGTAAAATAATAGGTTGGGAGGAGGACATGGCCTCTGAGAGAGCTTCCAGCTCTAGATCTATCCATGAGCCTATGATAGCTCTGAAAGGCTCTGCGGAAACCTTCAGTTCAATTTCTGTCACTCCTCCCTCTTTTCCTAGACCCATATGAGGGCTCCTTTTATCGTCCATGCCTTAAGCCTTTGCTGCTTCAGTTTTCCTATACGGTAAGGCAAACTTACTGGCTTTCCCCCTTTCTTTTTACCTCCAGGGTCAATGAGTATAAAATTTTGGCAAATGTTTTTATTCCTTCTTTAACATTTCCAACTATGAGAAGAGATGCTATAATTAAATTATGTGCCTTGTGGTCATTTTTTTTAAAAAAACGTTCCAAAGCCCATAGAGTGACTCTTGATGTGGTCCAAGTTTTTATGGCTTTAGAGTAACTATGATCTTTTATGGAAAAAGCACCACGTGTGTTTACCTCTAAATTTCTTGGAAGAGTATTGGTTGCATAAATTACTTATTTCAGCTCTGAGTGATAGCTGCTCACTGATTCCACTCTGAAATGCCATTGTTGTTTTAGATTCCTATGCATAAGCATTCCTGAAGTCTTTGGATTCAATCTGAAAGCAGCAACAAATACTTTACCAAAGATTTACTAATCCAGCAAAGGTCTCAACAGGGCTTATCTGAATTTAAGGTGCTCTTTCTCTGATGTTCTGGTTTGATCTGATTTGATTAAATTTTCCAAATACCCAAATGAGCTTTGGCCAAGGATTTTAGCCCTCAGCCCAGGTATATTACTTACGTTTTGGAGATTTTGGAGTGTTCTTCGAGGAAACTTGGACAGGTGAAAGAAAAATCAGGATTATATTATAGCCCACAAAGTAGCCACTATAGCAGGATTGCTTGGCATAGCATGAGTGAAAAAATATATTGATAAGATATTTGGGTAAAGCAGCTTGTTGTAGTGCTCTTGCTAAGAAAGCACACTTCTCTTGACATTAGAGGACTTACTCCTGAGTCCAAATTCTGCCATTTACCAGCTATATGTCCTTTAGGAAGTCACTAACTCTGAACCTCTGTTGCTTCATCTATAAAATGGGGTTAATACTTGTAATACCTACCTTATAGTGCTGTTTGAGAAAAACATTTTGTAAAAGTCTAAGTTAATGTCTTTAGGATCAGTTCTTGTGTTGCTTCAGATAAATGCAGCATATTGCAGTGAAACACCCTTGGCTTGCTGCAAGATGCATCTCTAGGGCTACTCATTCCTATTCCTTGTTAGCAACTGAGTTATGTCACCAGTGATCACTGGGTATGTGTCTAGATTATGATCATCATCCCAAATGAAATTATTTTTCTCAGGCTTAGAGCAGGAATCTGGGTCTGGGTAAGGTATTGCTTATCTTATAATCACTTTGAATTCTTCTTGGAATCACAGGAAAATGCTTTAACTGAATAAGTTGATTCTTTCTTATAGGCATCCTGCAGGCTGCCCAGCTACTAATGCCATAGGCTGTGTCAGCCTGACTACTTAAGCCAGACCCTTCTTATGGCCAAGGTGCACTTTCAGACCCAGTGATTTGGGAGTTTAAAAGTCAGAATGGGAGTCTTGAAGTTAGAGGGCAAAAGAGAGAAGGTATAATTATAGGGTTGGACTCCCAGGCCCATCTGCTTAGAATTACAGAGCAGTTTTAATCTTTGGCTGAAACATGAAACAATTCGGAGCCAATGAACAGATCAAAACAGCAGCTGCCACCAAAAGAGAGAGAGAGATGAAACAGGGGAAATTGTCCATTTTTTTTACATCTATAGTTATATCTTGTGAAAGAAAAAAAACGTGTTTTAATGGGCTTAAAACAAAAGAACATAAAAAGTTAGCTGGAGTTTAAACATTCTTTTTTTTTAAACATCATTACTTCTTGAATTAGAAAAGTAATGAATGGCAGATCCTTAAACTTGCTGCCTATTCCAGTTCAAGTATAGCATCATTTCCCTACCACCATCTTTAAGAAGTAATGTTCTTAGAGTTACCTCACCTAACTAATTCATGGCTAGGTCAGAAGAGTAGCCTGACATTTCTATAAGCCAGATGAACGACCATAGGAACTCAGGTGGCACCTAAGACTGGTTGTGTTTCCCAAATTTCAATTTGAAGACTTATGGTAACCCTTAAGGTCCATATCAAGTTTCTTAGGGTCAGAAGATGTTAAAAGAATCAGTCTTAGAGGAAGATGAGTCTGATACTGAGTGGGAGAGACTTAAAGGATTTTGGGACTAGAAAAGGTCATATAGTCTAAAGGTTCTTACCTGGGGTCTGTGCATTTGTTTTAAAAATATTTTGATCACTATTTCAAGAGGCTTTCCTTGGTAAGCCGCTGTCATTTATTTTATGCATTCAAATAAAAGGCCCATAGATCTCACCTTATCTGCCATCGTGGTCCATGACATAAAAAGATTAAGAACTCCTAATTTAGTCATATCCCTTTATATTAGAGATGAGGAAAGAGAAGCCCCCCAAAATCAAATGACTTGCCAACATCACACAGTAGCAGAGATAAGATTCAAACCCTGGTCTTCTGACTGTACATCCAATGTTTTCATTACAGAAGGCAACTGGAGGAAATGTTTTGAGAGGGAAAGTAGTACTTGGAATCATTGCTATTTTTAAGAGAAGTGGGATTAAAAAAAATAAGGACTGGGAAGCTATAGTTAAGTGACAAAGGAAATTCACATATGTCATCTGATTCCAAAAGGAATCCAATGTGGACAGAACTTTAGAACAACTATAACTGATCAAATAATACTGTAGACATATGAAGAAGAGCTAGAAGGAACAGGTTCCAGGAATTTGTATGGCTTCATGTCTGAAATGACAAAAATTATCGCAATTGATTATAAGGCTATATACTTTCAGAGAGTACTGGATAATAACTCAGATACAGTGGAAAAAATGGAACACAGTATTTCTTATTTTTATTTGGTTAAAGTATTTTGAAATAAAAAAGGTACCAATCTCTCCTACCCTTCAAGGAAGGCAAAGATCTGCTTAGTTTGCGTATATGCACCATATACCTGTCTCCCTTTGGTATCAGGGATTTTAGAAAAAAAAATTTCATGGTGTATGGTACTAGTTGGTATTTGGTGATGTGCGACTTTTAAAAGTCCTTACATCATTTTAAAGTGCTAAAGCTATTACTAATTTTGGTTGTAGATATGATCCAAACTATCTAAAATATTTTAAGCAATGAATAATTCAGGTTTTTTCTTTTCTTTTTTTTTCTTTTTTTTGGCAAGGCAATCAGAGTTAAGTGACTTGCCCAGAGTCACACAGCTAGTAAGTGTTATGTGTCTAAGCCGTATTTGAACTCAGGTCCCCCTGACTCTCAGGGCCAGTGCTCTATCCACTGTGCTACCTACCTGCCCCTAGGTTTTTTCTTACAGTTGGTTTTATAATAATAGCTCATTTATATATCACTTCAAGGTGTTCAAAGTGTTTATATATAGTGCATTATTTCATTTGAGTTCCATAATAACACTGAAGTAGACACTTTTATTCCCCTCATTTTACACATGGGGAAACTGAGGCTTAGAAAATTGCCAGTCACATATCTAGTTTGGGTCTAAGGTGGGATTTGAACACAAGTCTTCCTGACTCCAAGTCTTGTATCCATTAAATGATACCATACCCCTGACTGATGGTTGCACTTTACCTTCTCATCTACAGTAACCATTTTTCAATTTTAACAAAATCTGCAACATTTTGCCTCTGGTTATATAATGGTGCATGCATTTTTAATACATTTGCTCTAAAATACTTTGTGAAGAAATGCATTTGAGAAGCTTGGGCAACCTGTACTTTACCTGAATTCCAACCCTTTCTTCTCAAATGTGGGGTTTTCTTGCAATGTTTTTGAGGATGGTTTCTATCTGTCCTATAACTTCAATTGTGAGAGTTTGAAGGGAGGTACAGACTTTATGAAGAATAAGTAAGGGGGTCACAAAGACCATTATATTTGGCTGCATGGTCTTAATTTTAAAATTACTCTTCCTTGACTAAGCCACTGATAGTCACAGGTCACCTTATGACTACTTTTATATATATATATTTTTGGGAAAAAAAGATTAAAACGGCTGTCTAAAAACCTTTCTTACCTACAGGACAGAAAGATATGCAATGAAGAGATTAGAGCTCATTGTCAATTTTTTTTTAATGTTTTCTTTAAACTGCAAATTTGAGACCCAATTCCAAATGACAGTGTGTTTGTCAGATTTATTCTTCTTCCATTCAATTTATGGATATGATTGCATTAGCTAATTCAAGATTTATAGAATATTAGAACTGGCAGAAACTCTATAGACTATCTGGCTCAATTGTCTTCTTTTCAGGTGGGTAAAAGTGAGATACAGAGAAGTCAAATGACTTCTCCAAGATTGTGCAGTGATAGAATCAGGACTACAGTTCAGTTCTACCAATTCATAGCCAAAAGTTCAAGATATTGAATGTCAAAGAAAGCATGTTGCTAGAAATAACCCTTTTCAGGCTTTTCTCAGCTAGCATAAAAAGGTGTAAAGGTTTCTGATGTTACTTTCTGAAATCATCAGCTCCGGGAACAAAGATTAACACGAACAATTCTCTAACATAATTGATTTGTAATGGAAATATTTGATTCTAAGATTTGGTGCTGATACCGTGAGAACCTCTTTTTAAAAATGGAATTTAGTGGTTATTATTGGTAGAAGTGATTGACTTTTTCTGGGAAATGAGGCTCATTTTTTAGTTTCATTCAAGGTAACATGTCCAAACTTTTAACTATTTCTAGGATGACAA